AAAGTCTTATAGTTTTCATTGTATAAGTCCTTCACCTACTTGGTTAAATTTATTCCTAGGTACTTTATTCTTTTAGTAGAGACCAGCATTACTTTGATAACAAAACCAGGCAAGGACATTACAAGGAGAGAAAACTAAAAGCCAATATCTATCATGAATATAGATGCAAAAATTCTTAATAAAAATTTTAGCAAATCAAACACAACAGAACATTAAAGGAATATGTCCTGACCAAGTGGAATTTATCCCAAGAATTCAAGGTTGGTTTAACATTTAAAATAATCAATCAATGTAATTTGCCATATTAAGAAGCCAAAAAATACAAACCATGTGATCATCTCCATGAATTCAGAAAAATTATTTGAAAAAATCCAACATCCATTCCTCATTAAAAAAAACTCTTAGCAAAATAGGAATGGAAGGAAACTTTCTCAAACTGATAAAGAGCATTTTTGGAAAACCTACAACTATTATCATGCTTAATGGTGAAAGACTAAATACTTTCTCTGGAACAGGAGGAACAAGATAAGGAGGTTTGCTCTTACCATTTCTATTCATATTTATTGAAGATTCTAGTCAGAGCAATAAAGCAAGGAAAATAAATAACAAGCATCCAGATTGTAAACAAAGAAATAAAACTATCTTTATTGGCAGAAGACATAACTGTCTATGTAGAAAATTCTATGAAATCCACAAAAAATTTACTAGAACAAATACGTGAATTTAACAAGTTTTCATGATAAAAGACATTAGACAAAAATTAATTTTATTTCTATATACTAGCAATGAACAATAGGAAATAGAAATTAAATAAATACCATTTACAATATCATCAAAACATGTGAAAGATTTAGGAATAAATTTGACAAAGGATGTTCAAGACCTGTGCACTGAAGCCTATAAATCATTGCTCAGAGAAATTAAAATAGACAAAAATAAACGAAGAGATATACCATATTCATAATTTAGAAGACTCAAATACTGTTAAGATGTGAATTCTCAAATTTACCGTTAGATTCAATACAATACAAACCATAATGTCAGCAAGGTTTTTTGTAAAAATCAACATCAGACCTTAAAATTTATATAGGAATCAAATTACCTAGAATAGCCAAAACCACTGTGAAAAAGAACAAAGTTGGAAGATTAATGCTACCAGATTTCAAGACTTATTATAAAGTTACGGTAATCAAGACAGTGTGGTATTAGCATAAACATGGGTAAAAAAATCAATGCAACAGAACAGAGTCCAGAAACAGGCCCACATATAGATGGACAATCTACTTTTAACAAAGCTACAACGACAATTCAGTGGAGAAAGGATACCCTTTTTAACAAACAGTCCTGGAACAACTGGATATCCATATATAAAACAATAATAATTTTCCATCCATCCCTTGAACGATACACAAAAATTAGCTTAAAATAGATTGGACACCTAAATGTAAAATCTAAAAGTACAAAACTTCTTTAAAAACAGAGGAGGAAGCATTTGCAACCTTCAGTTAGGCAAAGATTTTTCAGATATGATACCAAAATCATGACCCATAAAAGAACAGATTGATAAATTGGACTTCATCAAAATTAAAAACTTCTGCTTTTCTTCCTACTCTTAACGGAATAAAAAGATAAGCTACAGCCTGGGATAAAATGTGTGAATTGTATTTCTAACAAAGGGCTTACATCCATAATACAAAAATACTCTCAAAACCTGCTAAGAATTAACCATACAAATCTATAAGCAAATGGGCAAAAGATTTGAACAGATACTTCACCAAAGACACGTGGATGGCAAACAAGCACATGAAAAGATACTAAATATCAGCAGTCATAGGGAAATACAAGTTAAAATCACAGTGAGATACTCCTATACATTTCTAAAAACCGATGATGTCAAGTGTTGGAGAGGATGTGGATGAACTGAGACTCGTGCTCTTGGGCATGGAGACGCCACAATCACTTGGGAAATAGTTTGGCAGTTTCTTAAAACATATACATCCCACATGATCCAGTCATTCTACTCCTAGGTATTCATCCAAGAGAATGAAAGTATAGGTCCACACTAATGTTCATAGCAGCTTTATTGTCTTAGCTGAAAACTGGAAACAACACAACTGTTCAGCATCAGCTGCCAGATATTGATAAAACACGTTGTTGTACATATATACGATGGAATTCTAATCCACAAAAGGAAAAAATTAACACCAAAACATACAGGAATCTCAAAACAATTATGCTGAATGAAAGAAGCCAGACAATAAAAAATACATAGATGATTGCATGTATATAAAATTCTCTGAAATGCAAACTGACCTTCAGTGAGGAAGCAGGTCACTGCTTGCTTGAGGGGAAGACAGAGTGAGAGAGAGAGATTACAAAGGGACACAAAGAAGCTTGGGTTTAACTGATGTATTCGCTAACTTGATTGTGGTGATGGTGATGGTTTCCCTCGTGTTCATACATGTCAGAATTTATCAAATTGTATACTTTAAACATGTCCAGCTTCTTGTATGTCAGTGATATCTCAATAAAGCTGTTAAGGAAAGACTTTCACATGAAAAAATATTTTTAAAGATGGCTTAGCAATTGGAATTTTAAAACAATCTTTTATTAAACAATTCTTGGGTGATAATAAAAATGTGAGCAGGAATTAGAGAATTGTGGGGAGAAAAAGATACTCAAAGCACTAAATATCTTACCTATAAGAATATTTAAAGTGATGCTCAGAGGAAAATTTATGTCCATAAACACCAAATCTCTAAAAAAGGAAGAGTCAAAATAATTAAATTTTTCACCTCAAAAAAACAATAAAAAAGTACAAGAAAGAAAACAATAAATCTAAGTATATAAATAATTGAGATAGAGAACAGGAAAGTAGTAAATCAAGAAATAAATCACCCTAGGGCTTTTTTGGGAAATTAACAATATAGACAAAACAGTAGCTAATCTAATTCAGAAAAAATAAGAAAACATAAATATATATAATAAGAATTGACAAAGAAGAAATAACCATTGATATGTAGGAAAGTTTTAAAAAATATGCCTACTTTCCATACATACACGCAAATAAATTGGGTGAAAGGAGTATGGGATTGAGTAAAAGTTTACTGATTGTATATTTTATATGGTTTGAAATTTAGAATCATGTTAATATTTTACATATTCAAAGAATAAATTTGAATCAACACAAGGAAAATATATTTACATCACTAAGTATCTTCCAACAAATTACTCATTAATTACAAGAGACATAATAACTTTATAATGGAGAAATCTGGCTTACAACATCTTAGTGAAGTGATTGACGTTAGCATCATTGATAACGATAACAGGACAAACCAACATCATGGCCCCCTGATGTATTTCACCGACAAGGACAAAAATCATTTCAGTAGCGTTTCTGCCAAGAACGCATTAGCTGAATCTAATCCACAGGGACATCAGGCCAACTCAAATTGTGGGCATTCTAAAAAATAACTGTCCTGTTGTCTTTAAAAATGCCAGTATTATGCAACACAAAAGAAGAGGGAGGAACCGGTTCAAGATTAAAAAGACAGGACAACTAAATGCAAAGGGTGATGCTGGATTGAATCCTGGGCTGGAAAACATAATTGTCCAGAGGACACTCTTAAAACAATACAAGAAATTGGAATATAAACTGTTGATTAGATAATAGTATTATATAGATGTTAGCCTTCCTGAATGATAACTATCTCATGCTTATATAAAAGAATTTCCTTATTCCTAGGCAATAATTAATTATGAAGGAGTAAACACAGTGTAAGGCAACTTACTATCAAATGAGAAAGAGACAGAGAATGATACAGCAAATGTGGCAAAATGTTAACCACGAGTAGATGTGAGTAAGCATATGCAGGAATTTATATTCCAGTCTTGCAAATTTTCTATAAGTTGGCAACTAAGACAAAACACATGTTTAAAAAGTTGTATTTGCACCACCCCCATAACAGTCCTTATACCCAATATATATCCTAATTTCTTTATTCCATAGCACTTCTTAAGTTCTAATATCAAATACTTTTATTATTTTTACTATGAATTTCCCTCCATAAAAATATAAGCTCTCAGAGACAGGAATCTTTTCTATTTTGTACAATGAAGTAATCCTGAAATTCTAGAACTGGACCTGGCAGTTAGGATACGTAAAATAAGCTTAATGACTGAATAAATGTTATAATTGGATAAAAAGAGGTTCCAGAGTCAGACGACCCGGGTCCAAATCCTCGCTCTTAGTGTTCCCAGACAAAACATGGGCAAGTTTCCAAACTTCCCTGGAACTTAGCTCTTAAGTACTTACTCCAAAGGGAGAGAGGGAGGGTGACATCAGGAAAAGTGGCAGAGTAAGGAAATCCCAAAGTCTGTTTCTCCACAAAAGCAATGAATGAATTGGAAAAAACTGTGAGAATCAACTTTTTGAGAACTCTGAAATCTAATCGAAATCTTACAGCAAGTGGGAGAACAATTAGTCGAGAAAAAATAGATGAGTCTCGATGAAAGAGTATCATGACATTTGAACTTACCCTGGTACCATCTCCCACTCCCCAGCGTGGCAGTGGCCGGATAACAACTGGCATTCCTAGTATACGCCTGGTGCCAGAGGGAGCAGAACAGACCTTATTCTCAGACAATTGTGGGGTTTTCTTTGAACTATCTGGTGGCTCGTTGAAGAACCGTCTCAAAGAGCTTGCCTTATTACACCTAACTTAGAACATTCCCAAGGTTGAGGCAGCTACCCAGGGAGAATTTTTTGAAAACATTTCAAGGCAAATGTATTGTCTGCTGCTTCCTGAGGCAAGGAATAATAGTTGGGGGAAATAACAGACTAACTTAAAAGTCTGGGAGGAAAGGCTGGGGAAAGATTTTTGGAGGACTAAGGATTTTGAAAAGTTGCCATCTATTTCTGGGACTCTAGAAGGCCATGCACACACCCAGGGCTGGCACATGCTTAGAAAAGACCTGAGAAGGCCCTTAGCTCTTACCTCTGGCAGATCTTCAGGCTCTGCACAAGCAGGAAGTGAAGGCTAAGGCAGAGTTGTAAACCATCTGGCTGAGTGCTGAATTCATGTCCCAATACACACACAAAGGCCATCTGCAAAGACCAGGAGATTTTTATTCTTTTAGTTCCAAGTGTTTAATGAATTGCTGTCATTCTAATCACTAACTGACCATTAATCTAACAGAACACCCTTTAATGACCTCACAGAGGATGCAAAGTTTACGAAACTAGTTCAGAAAAGTTATGAAACAAACAAGGGAAATGCAAATCAAAGCCACAAGAGATACCACTACATACCTACTAGCGTGGCTATAAAATTTTGTAAAAAGTGAAAATAACAACTGTTGATGAGGATGTGGAGAAACTGGGACCCTCATATATTGCTGGTAGGAATGTAAAATGGTGCATGAAATGAAACGGTGGAAAGCATTTGACAGTGCCTCAAAAAGTTAAACACAGAGTGACCATATAACCCAGCAATTCCACTCCTAGGTCTGCATCCAAGAGAACTGAAAACGTATGTTCAAACAAAAACACGTGTACACAAATATTTATGGCAGAATTATTCATAATAACCAAAAGGTGGAAACAATCTAAATGTTCATCAACATGAATGGATAAACAAAAAACGGTATACACGTGCAATGGAATATTATTTAGCCTTAAAAAGAATGAAGCACTGATACATGCTACCACATGAACTAACCCGGAAAACATAGTAAGTAAAAGCAGCCAGACTCAAAAGGTCATATATTGTGTGACTCCATTTACATGAAATGTCCAGAATAGACAAATCCATCAAAACAGAAAGCTGATTAGTGGTTGCCAGAGACAAAGGGGAGAGAAGATTTTGGAGTGACTTCTTTTGGGGGTGATAAACTGTTCTGGAATTAGATACTGGTAATGGTTGCACAACACTGTGAATATACTAAACGCCACTGAATAGTATGCTTTAAAACGGTTAAAATGAACTTTATGTTATGTGAATCCCATATCAAGTTTTAAAAAAAGGAATATAGGATGCTTTTAAGTACAATGATGCATTTTGAACTTTCAGGACCAAGTCTTTCAAAGCAAGTGCCCAATAAAATCTTAAGGCACGGGCCTCCTCCAACCAGCCTCTAAGACATTCTCCTCTTGTCATTGGTCAGAGGCATTCGCGTCTGCTCTGCAACCCTCTCCCCTTGGCTAGATCCTCGATGCCGAGGCTCTGAGTAGGAACCCGGGTTCCCTAGGCCCCCGCAGCAGGGCCAAGAGGAACCAGGGAATAATAGGAAACCTTCCTTTCGGGGCCTGGGTCCCCACAAGCTGGCTGAGCCTGGTCAAGTATTTCTCTCTAGTGAGAAACCTTTGACTGGTGGGAAAACGTCAGCATTTGGCCGTTAAGAGGGTCGGAATTGCAGCGCCGCCCCTAATTCTTAAGAGGTCTCAGACCAAGTGCCTTCTGGATGGCGCTTTCCTCTGAGGTAAAATGTAAGCGAGGACTCCAGGATCACAGGTATCCTGTGAGTCGATGGCCTGGTAAACATACAAGTTAGGGGCACTACTCTCAGAGGCCAGGCCGTGGCTGACCTGCCTTCCGCATGGCCAGGCTCACATCCCATCCACCACCTTCCCCAACAGGCAGTGCTCCACCCATCAAAGGCCACCCAACCTCTCGGACTCCAAGCAGCCCCTCCCCCCACTCCTGCGGGGACAGACTGGTGCAGGGCCCATCAGAAGCTGTGGAACTTTCTGGAAAGCCCAGGGCCCCTCCCCTCCCCACAAAGCCAGGGCGGGCAGAGGGAGGAACTGGCCTCTGATTGGAGGAGGTCTGCCGGGAGGGCGGGGTGATGGGCGGGGCCAACGGAAGGAGGTGAAGCCGTTGGCGAGCGGTTAATTTTCGCTGGTGCTTGGCTCATTTTCTCGTGTTCTCGGAGACGAAGGTTCTTAGGTGGCCTCTTAGTGGACAGAGGGGTTATGGAGAGCCCCCGCCCCAAGATCAGACCTGCCATGAAGATGCAGGAAAACCCCTGGGCCCAGGCTGCGGAGAGCGGGCCGCCCTCTCCCTTATCTCAGGTCGGGGGTGCGGGCCGCACCCGGCCTCCTCCCCGCGGGGGGCGCGCGTCCCGCCGGCCAGGGGCGGTCCTGGGCCGCTCGAGGCCCCCGCTGAGCCCTCCCCGCGTCCGGGCCTCACCCCTCGGCTGCCCTCTCCACGGCCGCCTCCAGCGGAACCGCGCCGCCCGCCGGCCACCCCACGTGCTGCCCTCCCGGGCCGGGCTCAGCGGGACATACGCTGGCCCAGTGGCTCCCCAGGGCGGGGGGCTGGCCAGGGGCCTCCTCCGGGGACCCCGTTCCACTGCCCTTAGAGCCCCCCTAGGCAGGGGGTGGGCGGCGGCAGAAGCCCCCTCGCCCTTCCTGCGCCTCACCTTCGCGTGTCTCCCCTCTTCTCCTGGAAAAAGGATTCCACCCCAGTCCCATGGAGGAGAGTGATCTGAGTGCCGCGCGGGAGCGGGGACCCGAGGCCCAGCGCTGCCGGCGGAGCCGCCCCCGGACACGCCCCTCCCCGGTGGGCCTCCCTGCGGTGAGCGGCGGTTTTCCCCCTCGGGTTCCTCGTCGGTGCCGTTTCCATCTGCCTCTCACTGTGATGGGTGAAGGGCTGGGGCGGACGGAAGCCCAGACCTGAGTCAGAACTCTCCCTTCTGAGTCGCGCGCGGCTCTGCCACCCAACCTCTGGGTGGTCGTGGGACATACACTGACCCTTTGTGAGCATGTTCTGTCACCTGAAAGGTGACACGATAGTAATGCCTGATACAGAATATTTGTGAGGCCGGGGCTGTGATGGAAATGTCCTCTGAAGGCAGACGGGCCTCAAATACTGTGATTTTAACTTGGTCTGCTGCTTCCGCCCACCCCTGCCTTTCTAAGTGTCAGGTTTCTTCCGATTTCCTTTTACTGCCACAGGCGTGGTCCCTGCCCATGACCATCAGTCACGCCGTAACGAAGAGCACGGGGGCAGCCCGTTTGTCCACACCGCCATCTTCTAGGAACCAGGAAGCCATCCTTCAGGAGTCCCCACCCCAGCGTGGCCTCCCCAGACTGCTTCCTTCCCAGCCTTTGGCGAGGCATTAGCCCTCTGGAAAGGATCTGCGGGCAGGACCTGGGACTTCTGTTCTCTGCACCGTCCGCGCCCCTTCTCTCCCTCAAGATGTCCAGTACTCTCCCTGCAGGGAGGAGAGTTGAGCTTCAGGCGCAGGACAGCCCAGGCCTCACAGGTCAGGTTCCCTCAAAGGTTGAGGTTCACGTGGCTCCTCGGTGGGAGGGCTGGGCTGTGAGCTGGGCTCCCACTGTAGGCTCCCGGATCGCAGAGAGCGTGGGTCCCTTCCCTTCATCTCTCTTCTCTTCCCTTTGTGTCCTAGGGCTCAGTTCTGACCCAAAGGCTTTTCCGTTTACCATCAACATGGAAACTTGGCTCTTTGCATGGGTATATTTTCCCTCTTTTGTGGATTATCTTGTTCCTCAAAACTGTGCTTTCATGAAGGAGGCCTGCGGGGCTCCAGGGGCCTGGTCAGTCACCCAGGCCCCAATAAAGCCTCCAGGCCTCAGGTCAAGTGGAAAAGCTTAATAAAGGCTGCATGTCCTTCTTGACTGCTGGCACTTGTGATTGGTGCTCTGATTCAGGAGTAAAAACTTGGATGGCACCTTCTTTTTCCTCTGCCCACCCAAACCAGATGGTAGTGTTTGTGCCACGGGGAAATGGGCAATGAGGGGAGGGTGGGTGACTGTTACAAGAGGTGCCCTTGGCCCTCCCACCTCCCCCTTTGAATACTGCTCATCACTGTCTCAGGTGGGGACCTGACACCAGGTGGTTTATTGACATCTGGCAGAATTTTCCCTCAGCATTTACATTGTAATAGAGCAAGAACTAAAGGAACAAATTTATCCACAGGAATGGCAGGTCATTAGGAAGGATGTGGGAGGCAGGAATGGTGATTCATATTGAGATTCTGGAATTTTATTAGTTACTATTTTTATCACTTTGTTCTTCTAGTTCTTGAATGAGGATAGAGGGAGAATTGTTAAGGAACAAATTGCTGGTGGGAGGGCATCGTTGTCTTCCTTAGAGTGTGAATCAGAAGTACGAATTCCCGTCATTGGCCTGCGGTGTGCACCTGGGCGGTGGTGGGCAACTTTTCTGGTTTTCACAATTAGTAGTGAAAGTTCTGGCAGAACACAAAACATCCGCTTACTGGGGCCTCCGGGGTTGAGGTTGCCAGTGCCTCTGCCCCGTCCTCTTCTAGTTTTCCATGTGTGCCATGGAGCAGAGCTGATTTGGAAAGAGAACAGGCTCCTAAGACTCCCCAGCTGGGGCCCTGGCTCTGGTTTTCTACCCCAGTCGTGGCCACAGCATATCCTGGGAGTTGTCTTCTGTAGCGGCTCTGGGTTCTTCTAAGGAGCAAGAATGGTGGAGTCTGTACTCACCCGGAGCCACAAGCACGGAGCACCAAGCTCATTGGAGCCAGGGCATGAATTCTTCATGTGTCCTCTTCCATGGAGGACTTAGGAATGAAAAGAATGGAATCATTTGTAATGAGAATAATACCACTTGGCAGGGATATTGATGAGCAGAGGAGGGCTTATTTGGAGACCTCTGATCTTTCCCGCCCTGAGACTCTGGGCCTAACAAGCATAATCATTAATGTCCTGTAATTTATAGCAGCATTGTCATTGATCCATGTCATTAATCATCATAAATTGGTGACTTCTTAACTCCTATGGGTTATTTGTAGCTGTCTAGAGCTCTGTAATTTACAAACAATAATCCTTGGAGGTAGATGATACCATGGCCATTTTACAGATGAAGATACCTAAACAGGGAAAAGACTCAAGTCCCCTGAAGGAAGGGTGTGCAGGGCGTTGGGCCTGCTGTCTTACTCCTCCCCTCCCTCTAATCGCCACACTTTAGAAAGCAAAACCAGAAAAGCAAACAGGGACCTGGGAATGATTTAGTGCTCAGTTTGTCAGCACAACGTTCAAGGACCTTAGGAGCAGTCTCTTATTTCTCACCATGAGGCACTGCGAGAGGCACAGTGAGGTCATTATTTGCTCAGTGTATTTCTCCATGTCTTCCACGTTTTAATGTTTCATTCACTGATTTAACCCTCATTGCTCACATATTATGATTTCTCCCAGGAAATTCACTGAAATTCTAATGTCCTTTGCTGTTTCTTAGGTGACTTTGGGGCAACTCCAGTACCCAGCCCTCCTACCAACTAGTTACGTGACCTGCAGCAAGTTATTTAACCTCTCTGTGTCTCGCTTTTCTCAGTGGTAAACGGATGGTCTAACTCTGAGGTCACAGGGATGAGTGAGAATTATGAGGAATGACATATGAAGTATATGAGATGCTTACCACACTGTTTGGTAAATAACACCAGTTCCCTCCTCCCTGGTTGGTCCGTCCTTTGTATTCTGTGAAGAGCTTTCCTATGCATGGTGCCTCACAGCCAAAAGGGGAGTCCTGAGTCCCTCCTTCCCTAGCTGGTTTGAGGCCAATTCAGACTCCATAAAACTGTCTGAAAGGCTTCCACCCTGCTGTTCAAGAGCCCTCCTCCTGAAGAGACTGCATATGGCAGGTGAATGCACCCTGGAACAATGTGGAAGGCCTGGAGAGCTCATCACCTTCAACTAGTTCCCACTCATTTAGTCTGCAGCCATCCCCTCATGGAGACTTGGAAGAGACAAGTGGGTTTGATGGCGGGACTGTGCCCTGAAGCCTCCAATATTCATGGAGAAACCAGCCCTCTCTTCCTTCACTGGACCTTGAAATGCAGGGTAGACACAGCCATGATTTTCCAACATGCCTCTCTTCCTACATGGAGTCAGGGGTCTTCGCCTTCCCATAGGGAAGAACTAAAGCCTCAAAGCTTATAGGACAAACACTCGAATCCTGAAGATGACCTCAGCTCCTGGGTGGGCCCTGCTTACTCCTGGCTTCACGAGGTAGAGGGCCCACAAGGACACTCCAGGTGGAGCCATACCCCTGGTCTCTGCTCCCTTCCCCTCTTCTAGATGTGGATGGTGGGTGGGCTGAACCCACATAGCCGTGTCCTCCCAACTGCTCTTCTGATTCTGCCTTCACCCCTTCCCTGCTGGTCCTTGCCTAGACTCCTGTCACTGCCCTTGTTTTTTGCTTAGCCCACAGTGCACAATGGTCTCTGACCCCTGTCCCAGCAGGCCTGGCACTGGAGGGCTGAGAGAGCCTCGTACCCAGAGAATTCCTGGCACAACTGCCCTTCTCAGCCGCATCTCTCAACTCTCCAGGGTCTTAGACCCTTTTTCACCTCTCCCAGGCTGGACTCTCCTCCTCTTTGTGTGGATATTTTCTTTCCTACCTCTGGCTGCCTCCTCAGCCTCGCTTCTTGCCTTCTTTCCTGATGTGGCAGCCAGCCAGCACTGTAATGGCTGAGTCCTGGGGGTGTGGTGGGAAGGGAACTCCAGTTCTGGGGTCAGAAGATCTAAGGTTTAAGACACACTTCTGCTCCATAAGCTCTATAAGAACTTAGAAAAAACAAATAACTTTCATTCTCAGCTTGGAAAATCTGTAAAATGGGGAAAGCAGTAATGCATAAATTGCAGTTTTTAGGTAAGGAATGGAAGGAATGATCATCTATGTGAAAGAATTTATTTGGAACAGCGAGATGCTGTACAATCTCCCTAAGTCTGCTGCTGACTTTGTATATCTCAAATGTCTGCAGCTAAGGTTCTTCCCTACCATTGTGTAGACAAGGCTGGATGTAGGAAAGGAACCCAAGCTGGAATGAGATATTCTTGCCTGAGCCCCCTCCATCTTGTTTCCTACCCCAAACCAAGGATGGAGGGAGCTCAGGCAAGAGTATCTTGTTTTCTCGTTCCTGGTACAGACCCCCATTTTCCATAAACGTCAGGAGGATAAAAAGCCTTTGTGCTCAAGAGAAAAGTCCCAGCCTCTTCTCCCCTAAGGTCAAGCCTGAATTAACCTCAAGCTATTTGTAGGATTCCTCAGAGGGTGGAATCTCATCAGAACTCTTCAAAGTGTGAAGGTCAAGGAAGAACTGGGCCACTTTCCTTGATCGCTGTTGTGGTCCTCCCCACCTCCTCCCAGACCTCTGGGGTGACCCACAGTCGTCTCCATTTACCTTTCATGTGAAAGCCAAGCTCTTCATGTCATGGGTCACCCTATCCCCAGCAACATGTCCTGTCACACCCCAGCTGTGGGGGTGAAGCCACTGTGAAATGTCAGCTCTGCTCAGGAGCCTGTCCAGCCATGCCCGCTGCAGTCAACCCCCTCTCACCGCCAGATGGGGTGAAATGTTTCTGTGATATTCTCTCTTCATTCGAGCTTGGACTAACGTGGCAATTCAGAAGTTAAGACCAAACTGGGAGCCAATTTTAATCTTCCCAAATCAAGCAGGTGGATGGTGTTTGGACTTGAGGGGACCTGGATATTAAGGAGAGGTAGAGAGGGCTGCTCAATGGGCTGCCCAGGGCCGTCCCACCACCCCTTGGGAAGTTCTCACCTCCCAATTCAAGTGGAGACCCTCTGGCTCACTGTTAGCCCTCTGAACAGAGCCAGCTTCTTGCTGGGTGATTCACCTGGCACCTGGCAGAGTCTTCCTGTGAGTATTTACATCCTAGAAGGGAAAAAGTCTGTTAACCCAAAGAAATAAAGGAAAACCTGTAAGAGGTTTTTGGTGGCAGCATTTCTGTCATTTCAGAGTCCTGGTGGTTAGACTTTGGCCATTATGCCAGACCTGGAACAAGGGTGAAGGGTGAGCAGGGATTGGGGAACCAATGAGTAAGGAAACCCAGAGATGAGGTCTGGAATTTTCCAGGTCCTTCTAGCTGCTACTGGGACTGTGGATCTCAGAACATAAAGGAGCACCAGGGGCTGCAGAGGCTAACGTGTGCTTTCTCCCCCTTTCCTGCCTCCTTCCTTCTCTCGATGTCCTGGAGACCAGGGCTAATTCAGCAAGGGAGCAACACCGCCCCTCCCCCACCCCGAGTTGTTCCCAGCCTGGGCCTTGGCTCTGCACCTAGTTTCCTACTGCTATTTTGGCCACAGCAGTCTCAGAGAGCTGCTTGCTATCTGGGCTCTGGGTTTCTTGTGAAGGCAGGAATGATGACTCTGCAAGGGCCCACCAGGGTACAGGGCCATAACCATCAGGCCTTGGTCTGGTTGGAGTACAGGGAGCCACTCCCCACTTGGGGTGAATTCTGAACTTCATCATGCACGATCTTGCTTGTAATAAGATTAATAACAGTTTTCATGGCTATTGAACAGGGGATCCTAACACCCGTCGAGGGAGCCTAGAGTGGATGATCTCTGATGGCTTTGCCGGCCCTGAGATTCTATGAGACTGAGATACCTAATATTATCACTTAATATGCTACAATTTATCATAATGTTTTCAATGATGCATATCATTAATCATAATGACTATTATCACTCTGCCTTTTCCAATCTGATGTGCCATCTATATAACTACATGGGCCTCCTCAGGTGTACTTACCAAAGTCAATACTTACCATCAACACTTTACTGGAAAAGGCACTGAGGCCAGGAAACAGGCTCTGAATCCAGCTCCTCCTCCTGGACGGCACCTCACCCCCAGGAGCAACACCGCCTGCCTTGGGTTGCTCAGGACCTCCCAGTTCTCTACCACTGCCCCTCCCCCAGGCCTGCTTTGTTCTCTCCATCCCACCTGCCACCCCACCTCAAAAGCTCCTGGGACAGCTAGAGTTGCCTGCTTCCATCCCTGCTAGTCCAGGTGCAGGATTCCAGTTCTGAGTGGACCCTGTTTAACCCAAAGCCAGTCACTTGGCCACTCCAGGTCCCTTTGGAACCTAAAATCTAGTGAATTCTTCCAGCCAGAGGTGCCACCTTGGCCTTGCAGCCCTGGCCAATCCATCCGTTCATCTCCTCCTGGACTATCCATTATCTTGAAATGAGTGAAAACAGACTGATCTTTGTAAAACCAGAGATCTAGAACCAGCTTATGTCCTTGCCCCTCAGGGGGATGTGTAAGGCCCTCAAGGGCATGCACAGTGTCCTTCACTTTTATTTTGATTTCCCTCAGTGCAGGGCACAGTGTGGGGCACACAGTAGGTCAGCAAATGCATGCTGAATGCACGTAGCACTGATTTCTCCACCTCTTTTGCTTTTTCTGCTGGACTTGGTCTTCTAAAATTCGAAGTTCCCATACCAGAATTCAGGCCTTTGACATGAAACCCAAAAAACTCTGTGTTTCTAATCGTCTCTGCAGCTTTGTAGGTAACTTCAGGACAATTAACTTATTGTTTACCCAACTCTGCCACTCACTAGCTGTGTGACCTTGGGCAAGTTATTTAACCTCTCTCTACCTTAGCTTCCCCATTGGGGATGATAATAGTAATACCTACTTCACTGTGTTGTTTTGATGACAAATTGAGATAATCTGTGTAAAGCTTTTAGAACAGTGCACAGCACGTAGGGAACTCTCAATGAATGTCAGCTACTATTATCAATTTAATTCTGCAGTTCAATATCCACTTGGAGAATGCCAACCTTGTGTCAACCTAATGAAGGGACAAGAACTTTCCCATGTTTAGTCTGAGTAGGTAAGGCAACCAGCCCATCTTTGGTAGACAGGCAGAATTGTATCTTTGAGAGATCCCAAGGAATGGGTAGAAAGAGTGTGACAGGGAACCCAGGAGGGGACCATTCCAGATGACTGGGTGTAACTGAGGACTTAAATCCCTTCTTCTTAGCAATAGTCCTTCTCAAATGGTAAACAAGATACTTGCTTGTTCCCAAGACATCCTGCGTTGGTGATGGAGGTGACAGTGTGGGCCTCTGAGGTGTTTCTTCATGAGAGAGTAGGAACAGTGTCAGGAAGCTGACAGAGGTATTCACAGTTTGGGGAATGGAGGACATCTTGGATATAGCATAGGGGAGTCAAGGGAAAGAAAACTCACTCTTGCAAAGTATATAAATGCTAGAGTCGCTGCCAGGTGTGCCAGGGAGTATCACTGAGCACATGTTACAGAGGAGGTAGCAAAAGAAAAGGGGGCGTGCTCATCATCACCAACCAGATGGGCAGCTGGATGGAGGGGCCCAGGGTTGTGGGCTGGTCAGTGGGCTGACTGGATATGGACCACATGGGTTTGGGAATCCCATGGAGATGGGTGAAATTCCAGATTCACCCCCTCATCCATAGGGACCCAAGCGGGTAACTGCAGGATGCATTGACATCTCAGAAAGGGACTAGATAATGAGATCTTCCTTGCCGCAGCTCCAGAGAGACTCCAACACAAGATGGTGGAGGAGAATCCTGGCTCTGATTGGCCAGGAGCACATTCAGCTATTTGGCCAAAGGGACAAGAAGATCAGTTATGCCAAGAAGAACAGAAAAATAACCAGGCAAGAGCCTGCAGTCTGGGCCCGTTTCCCCAGAGTCAGTGAGCAGAAGAAATATGCCAAGCATCCCAAATGAGGACATGGGCCAACATTGCTGCACCAGTCAGAGGAGGCTGAACGGCAGTGATGGGCTCCCAGGGTAGCTTGAGGGGGAGAGGCGGGCTCCCCTCTTTGGTCGGTTGGGAAGCATTTCAGTTTCCCTCTGTGAGAGGCTGCAGGGAGGGGAAACTCACAGCGTTGTTGTGAACATCGGCTGGCTGCCAGGGGGGACACTTAAACGAGATCATGGAAGCTGAGAAAGTAAGATCTTTAGTTTACAGGCTGAAAGCACAAATAGACGTTTTTAAACTGTGAGCAGGGCAATGTTCCTTTTAGATGTTGGGAGAGCAACCTGGATGGATCTGGTTCTGTTGTGCAAAGGCAGGAACCCCAGGTATTTACCTGTGAGAAGCCTTATGGTCGCAACAAATTCTTCCTGCTGGCAACTGCATCACATAGAACGTTGCTGGGTTTGGGAATCTGGGTGTGATGTTTAAAACGGTGTGTTCAGGTTTTGACTGCTCCCTGACAACAGTCTTTTTTTAAAATAAGCGTATCTATTTTACCAGCAGCAGTTTGCAGAAACTCCAACGGCTGCAAGTACAAAGGAAGCCCCATGTGGCTTGCTGAAGCTCTGAGACCTTCCCCGTAGACACTTTGAGAACAGAGGACAGCAGACAGAGGCACTCAGGCTGTACTTATGGAAAATCAATACCCACAGACTCTGGGAGAAAAGTTACTGCTCAGTTTGGAAGGCAGACATCTGAGACAGTGACTTTTCTCTTACCTGGCTGGAAATTACATCCCTTAAAAAAAAGTGTATCTAAGTTCTTTTGGACTTTCAACACTGTAATGATGGCAAAATGAAAAACATCTCCTTCGAAGGGAACCTGAGGGATGTGTCGTTATCAAGAACTTGGGAGAAGGAGGTTGAACTCTTTGCTAGTTAATAATTCAGCTGGGCTCAGAGTGCATCAGCTACCTCTACTCTGCACAAGATGAGAGAGCTGAAGCCTTCTCTCCTGTGAGGAAAGAGGATCTGGGTGGGCAGAGCCTCTCCTCCTGTTTTCCAACAGGAAGCGGGGGAAGATGAGTTCACTCATTGGAGTGAGCTGGTATGAGACTTTATGTCTTAAAAAGGAAGAAGTCACAGGCTTTCAGGGCACAGGGGACCGGACGAGGCTGGAGGTGGAGGTTGTTATACAAGAGACCTCCTAGAAGGCCCCAGGCCTTGAGAAGGGGTGATCACAAGGGCAGGCTGGGCCAGACTGTCTGAAGCCTGGGGGAATCTTCCTGGCCAGGGGAGGAAATGTGTTACAAGCCAAGAAGAGCCAGAAAGGCCAGCGTGAGGTCAGAAGAACCCACTTAAACAAGGGACCCTTGCCGGCAGTCAACATTGAGAATTTTACCAGACCTTGAGGGCAAACCAAGGGCTTCCAGATCAGGCTATAAATTTGAGTACCTCAGTCAGTGTAAAATGTAATCTATAGCAGGTTGAAGAGAGGAAGAAAGGATAGGAAAAGCAGTGTGACGTTATGGAAAGGGCTAAGGCTTTGCAGACAGACTTATTGTGGGACCATGGGCAAGCTACTTAACCCCTCTGAGCCTAGTCCCTTCATCTGTAAAATCGGCATAAGAATATCCACCTTGAGAGGCTGCAGTGAGGAGTCAGTGGGGAATGCACGAGAAGCACCAATACAGTACCTGGGAACTGTAGGTGCTCAATAATTGTCAGTGCTTCCCCTGCCAAAAGCGACGCTTGCATGATCATTGTACGTCTGGAGCTGCACCATCCAATACAGTGGCCAGTACTGGCCACATATGGCTCTTAGCATTCTAAAGATGTGCCAAGATGTGAAAAATGATTGCCATGAGTGTAGAACACACACCAGATTTCCAAAACTTTGTACAAAACAATTTAAATGTCCTATTAATAACTTTATAATGATTGCCTGTTGGAATAATATTTTGGATATATTAGGTTAGATTTAAAATGACAGCAGGGCTCACACTTTATTCCTATTGAACAGTGCTGATCTAAACATCAGATGAAGATAGGGTTGGGAAGCGTGTTCCAGAAGCTCATTTGTTTCTACACTTTGGGTTTGTGCTTTGGTTTGTTGTCCTGGTTCCCCAGTAAAAGACCCTTTTGAAAAAGTGCCATTCAAGGCTCAACCAAAATGGGTGGAAGGTACATGTGCTCCCCTAGTGGCTAAGTGTGGTGGTGGCCACAGTCCAATAAAAGGAGGCGGGCTGGTGGGACATCAGGGTAACTAGGAAGGAACAATTCCTTCTTAGCTTGGAGCTTCATTCTAGATCCTCTACTGATCTTTACTCCAGGAGGACGGCCCCATTCTCTCTTTCAGAAGGCTGCCATCTTTACATGAACTTGGCAGGAAACAGGCTCCTACCAGGCAGTAGCTGACACACGTACACTGGAAAATGCAACTTCAGAGCCCCCTTCAGAAAACCATGGCGTTTCCAGAGAAATGAACAGCAGACATTCACAGACATGAGAATGTTCTTTTTTTCTCTCCCAAGAAGTGTGGTTGGTTGTTTTTAAAACTGTACATTTTACTGTACATCTTTTTTTTTTTTTTTTGCAAAGGAGAAGATTGGCATTTATATTCTGACCACAGGGATGTTGTTTTCCAAAACTCCAAGTCAGAAACATGACAAACACAAGCGCGAGTACATACCATGTCATGACAGAGCTCAGGGCCACTGACAAAAACAGACAGTTGGTTCCTCCCCTTCCGACATCCACCACTTTCCCTCTGGGTGTCTGAACCCAAAGGCGAAAAGAAAGGTGGTATTGGGGCTCACTTCCTCAATGGCTACATTTAGAAAGGCTGAGTGAGAAAGGTGCAGAGAGACACAGAGAGGAGGGAAACGGAGGCGGAAAAGAGGAGGGTGGGAAAGACGCTTCCAAGTCACCCAGTTCTGTGGGCGCCGCCATGGCTGGGGGAGGCATGTGCTCTGGCACTGGGATTAGCCTGGAAAATTAACTTGTGGCCTCAGGAAGAGACTGGCCTGGTCAGTTAATGACCTTGCCAAGACCAGAAAGGGACTGGGCAAGGCCGAGAGTCACAGGAAGTAAAAGAAGAATAAAGACAGGAGGGTGGAGGGAAGGCGAGGACAGGGAGAAGCAAGGGAGGAGGGGCGGAAGGACGAAGGCATGGGATTGGGAGGCTCCTGGGCTGGAGCCAAAAGGCAATCCTGCATAGACAGTTCCCACCCTCTCCTTGTGTGCTCTGGGTGGGGGTGGGGGCCACCAGCACAGCTCCAGGTCTGAGCCCATCAGAACTTTTCGGCCCGAAGTGGACTCACCTGTGTGCTTTGTATGCTGTGTGGTTGGCAAGTGGAAGGAGGGAGAAGAAGGAGAGAGAGAGGTTAGAGATCTATGGCAGAGGCTCGGGAGAGGGAAGAATGAGTTGGGGAGACCGAGGGAGAGGTAGTGCGTTGGCAGTTAGGAGAGACCCGCAACAGACAGAGACCAGGAGAGACAGATGCAGGGGGAAGTCGTTCAGACACTTCTAAAGCAGTTTCTTCCTCCCGCACCCCCTCTGCCCCATCTCGACACTGTCTGGGAGTGTGGGCGTTAATCCCTACGTCAAAAGGAGCCCATGTGCCCCTCCCATAGCCATCTTGTCATGTCCATGGATGGATGCTCTTCATGAATGGCATCCATGGAAGGCATGCCCCATGTCCCACCCTGAGCCACCTTCTTCAGGAACAAACAAGGGACAGACTTTGGACCCAGAAATGCCCTAGCCAGGGTGAAGACAGGGTAACAGATCCCCACCACCACGCTCAGGAGGAGGCGGCCTTCACACCTACCCTGACTTGGTCACTAACTCACCGTGTGACCATGGGCAAGTCCCTTATACTCTGGGGGGAGGGGGAGAGAGGGTTAAGGATGAGATGATGGCAGACAGCTCTTCAAGCTTCAAAACTACGATTCTAATGAGATTCAGCTTTCCCCTCCAAAGCCTCTAGAATTCTCCCTCCGTGTCCAGTAGGAAGGACAGGGACTGCTCTACAGCTTGTGCTCCTGAGCTGAGCTGAAACCATAACATTTAGAGTCATGAAGAGTTCATTAGTCTTTAGGACTGGGAGGAAATCAGACACCTGGTACAATCCCAGGATTTTGCAAATTAGGTGACTGAGGCCCAAAGATAGGAAGGGTCTCGCTCAGCGTGTTCAGCTGGTTACTGGGTGGTGGCTCTGGAATCCAAACCCAGATCTTTGCACTCCAAGTCCAGTGCTCCTTTGGCCACCCTACTCTGCTTTCCTTAAGAGAAGCTCTCTTGACCCACCACATGCTCACGGGGACTTTCTGTGCCAGCTTCCTCAAAAAAGAGGCAAAAATCCCAAAGCAATTCCAAAAGCTAAGATCCCTTATGCCCTTACGCCTCCTAAAGCCCTTCTCCATCGCGCACACACAAGGAGCCCTGGAAGCTACCCTTCTGGTTGAAGCTGATGTGATGGGTGTATACGGGGCGTCATGTTTGAGAAGCAGGGGAGCAGGGTCTGACGTGGGGCTCACTCATCTCTCCCAAGCGTGGGGACGGTTGGGAACAGTGAGGAGTCTGGCCAGGGGACTCCACAGCCTCCCCCAAAACACGTGTGGAGGCAGAATAACTCCCTTCTCTTGTCAACGGACCTCAGTCGCCCACTTCTAGGGCGGCTGGGAACCTGCTTCCATATGTAGAGCAAACCCTCCATTATCTGTGTGAAGGAAGAGGGGGAGTCTGGGAAGTGGAAAAAATAAATTAAGAAATAGAAACAACACAGGAACCATAAGCAATCCACAGCCGCTTGCTTATCTGCGACATTTGTGATGAGAAAGGCCAAGTGCCGCCTCTCCCAACACTCGGGGCTCAGCCCGACGTTTTAGCGATGGAGTCTGCTTTCCCTGAGCACACCCCACTGGGTGGTGGGGGACAGGCCTGGGAAGGTGGCATGGATGGTGGGGGTGGGGGAGGCCGTTGACAGGGAGAGGAAACGGCCCTGGATGTAAACATCGCCATGGAAACTCCACAAGGACTCCCAGTACAGATTCTTCCCCCTTCTTCTGCTCTGCCAGTGGGGAGGGAGGATGCCCACCCCCAGGCCTACACCGTGCTCTCCATTACCCACTCGGAGCTGCCAAATGTCCCCCGTGCCCCCACCAGGTCACTCTCCTCAAAGGGCAAAAGCATGCCGTTGACAGAGAGGCTGCGTTTTGTCCAGATGTTCGAGACCCTCCGAGGGGGGCTGTAGCCACCTGCGGTGACCGCTCCCGCTGCCGCAGCCGCAGCTGCGAAGTCCCCCATGTCAAAGGAGTGGCTGCGTTTGGCCTTGCCCTCCAGGGGCAAGGGGAGCAGGCTCCTGGCCCGGGCTGTGGGTGGCCCCAGCAGTGGCTCTCGGTCCGACTGGTGGCCCCTGGCAGATGTCCCAGACCCTCTCCCCCCTGGAGTCCTGGAGTCCAGCAGCTCCTCCTTTCTCTGACTCTTGAGGTCCAGGGAGGCAAAGGCCCCCATCAGGCGGTCAAGGTTGGGCTTGGGGCGGGAGGCAGGGGGAGGGAGCCTCCAGGGGCCATGTCCTAGCCCCGCGGCCTCCCCGCTGCCCAGGGAGCTGGAGGAAGAGGAGTCGCTGCCTCGGGCCAGGCTGGCACTGAACTGGACCAGCTCGTTGCGCACCACCACCTTGGGCGGTGCCTGCACTGGGGCCCCGCTGGGTGCGCTGCTCAGAGCGGGCAGCTGGGCCCCATTGGTCTGCGAGTGCATGTTGCTGACAGCAGTGGTGGCCACCATCTTGCCGGGGGCCTCCTGGTTGCAGACCTTGTAGCGCACCATCAGGATGACGATGAAGACCAGCAGCGTGGCCACGATGATGCCGCCGATGACCAGGATCATGGTGCCGCCCAGGAGCTGGCTGTGCATCGACTGGCACTGTGGATAGTCGGCCTTGGTGAAGAACTGGGCACAGCCCACGATGTTGGTGGCCGTGAGCGTCGTGGCAGTGTCGTCCCACATGGCCAGCACACACAGGTCGTAGCCAGTCCCTGACACCAGGTTGTTGACCACGAAGGCCTTGTTGGAAGCTGGGATCATCCTGGGGTGGGTGGGGGTAGATGTAGAGAAGGAGGGATGGTGAGGGAGGGACGGGTGATGGGGGACAGGGACAGAAATAGAGAGAGAGTGACAGACAGCAGAGATGGAGAGGTGGAAGGGGAGAGAGACAGACAGACACAGGGACACAGAGAGAATGAGGCAGAGCAGAGAGAGTGACAGGTGAAGAGACAGGAAAAGGGAGAGATGGAGAGGAGGTGGGGGAGAGGGAGGTGACAGGTACAGGGCAGAGGAAACAGTGAAGGAGTCAGAGAGATGTGAGGCCAGGGACCCAGGCAAGAGAAGAGAGACAGGTGGTGTGGAAAGAGAGGTGAGAGAGACAGAGTCAGGGGTAGACGCGTTGTCAGAGAGAGACACAGAGAGAAAGAGACGGCCGCGATTGGGCGCAGGAAGCCACCCAGAAGATGTGGAAATAAATAGTGAATGAGGACGTGGATGAAGAGGATGAGAAAGGGGACGGTTGGAAGCAGAGACAGGGGAAAGCGGTTTGGAGATGGAGGCACAGAGAAGAGAGGGGAGGGACAGGAGAGCAGACAGGTTAAAGCCTGAAGACGCAGGGATTAAAAAGGAGGACTCCCGCACCCTCCTTCTGCCATGTCTGCCCCAAATATTCCCTCAGTCCCTGGGAAGCGGGGGTGACAGTCAGGTCAGCCCTGGCCCCGCTCCAGCACCCCCCAAGCTCGGCGCACCCCTTGTTGTGTCCTCAGAGACTCGTCCACATTGACCCAGCCCCCTGTCTGGGCCTGTGCTGGACTGCCACACACAAGGGCCTGTCCTTCCTGTCCTCAGGAGCCACTGCCATCCTCTGGCTTTCTCGTGCCTGGGGGCGGAGGATGTCTGCTGGGGCACACTTGGGAGTGGCGGGGGTCTAAGCAGAGGAGAACTGGAGGTGGGGGGGGTGATGCTCAGAGGTGGGGGGACAGCACAGTGTTGAAAACTGGAGGGCAATTCTGTTTCCCAGAGGGAAGGGCCGATTCCTCCGTCACGGCCACAGCAGGCCAGGGCACCCAGGGACCTGCGGAAAGAGTTCCTCTGGTCGGGGAGGCCTGCCGGTCCCTACACCTTAGGGGGTCTGGGCCTCTCCTGCCTGGACCTCCAGGAGGCCTAATGCAAACCCTGATCACTAAGGCCCTAGGCTGGTATCATGCCTTCTGGTGTCTCCAGAGACCGTGCCTGAGTCACCCTATAAACTCTCCTGCAGAACATTTGCCTGGGCCCGAAGGGGCTGCACCCGCTCTTCAGCCTTTCCCATCAACCCCAACTCCCAAAGAGCCCTCCATCCTCCTGTCCCCTCCCACACAAGGGCTCCATCAGCGCCCGTCAACCCCTCAAGCCCAGAGCCAGGCAGGTAATTGAGATCTCAAATATGAAATACCGGAGCCTGAAAGCGGGCGTCCAGGAGCTGCACACGGAGGATGGGCGCTGACAGGAGGTATTGATGTCCCGTCAGGGGGCAGCCCCGGAGGCTGCTGCCTCCCTGCACCCCCTCTGCCTGCTCTGCCAATGGGGAAGCCACAACGGAGGAAACTCCAACCCCTGACCAAGCCCAGCCCACAGCCCCAGTGCTTGGGGCCAAAGAGGTGGGTGGAGGTGGGGGCATGGATCCAGCAAGGCCCTGCAGGCCAGCCTCTTGGGTCTCACCTGGGCATCATGGCAGTCCTGTAAGGGGAGGGAGTAGCGCTTTCATATCACACAGCAGGAATGGCTGAGACTCAGAGAGGCTGAGTGATCTGCCTGAAGTCACACAGCTGGGACTGTTAGGATGGGGCAGCCAAGACTTAACACCAGTTCCTAGGTCCACAGTCTGGGTTTGCTTCTTACTACAAACATGGGATGCTTTTCCTCACCTCAATGAGAACGCCGCCTGGCCGGTGGCAGGTCAGCCCCCCGGCCCCAATCCCTGGAGCCAGCTCAGAGCCCACTGAGGCTCACACTCCTCCACCAGCAGGATCTCTGGTCTGTGGCGAAGCCTGGGGAGCTCCACGTGGCCATGCTCCCAGGGCCCACTTGCTGTCCCCCAGGGCTGATGATGTGCGTTGGAGGGGCAGGAGTGGTGCACACACGGAACAGTGACAACACTAGGGCAAACAACAGGTGCCAACTGTGTGCTCTAAGTGCCCTATGTCTGTCAACTCACTTAGTCCTGCAGCAACTCTCTGCTGTAGCCACTGTCAGGACCCTCCCTCTGCAGACGGGGAGACAGAAGTGCAGAGGGTCTAAGTAAGCAGACCCAGCACGCGGAGCCGGGAGTCCCACCCAGGCAGGCTGGCTCCTGTCCACTCAGAACTGCCCCCACCCACCGCGGGGCCGTGAGCAGTGTGAGGGCATCTCCAGTAAGGAGGAGATGAGCCGGCTGTCCACTGAACACCTGTCATGTGACAAGGGTTCCACGTTCAGGATTGCATTTGACCTTCCCAACAAGCCCAGGACACAGAAGATGGACCTTGAGCCCAGAGATTATCTCAGTGATGAGCCATCTTATCCTAGGAAGCAGACCCTACTCTTAGAACCACCACTAATACAGACACTACTCAGGAAGAAGAAAAGTCGCTAAGATGGAGGGCTTACTCTGTACCAGGCACTGTTCTGAGATCTTTAAGGGGATTAATACTCATAACACTTGTGGGGAGGTTGTTACTATTACTGTCATCTCCATTTTGTAGATAAGAACCTGAGGCACAGAGAGGTTAAGCTGCCTGCCCGTGAGTGCCCAGCTAGTAAGTGGCAGAGCTGGGATCTGAACCAGGCAGTCTGGCTCCACGCCTAACTGCTGTGCCACGCTGCCTCTCAGCCACTGCCCTATTTTTCTACCCCTCGGGGTGACTCTGGGGGAACTCTGCCTGGCCTCTCTCCCTCCTCCTTGCTTCCCAGGTCAGAGAAAATCACGATGCGATGAAGCCCCAGTTGGGCTGTGCTGCTAGCGGAGGAGCAGTGGGGCGAGGCTGAGCCTTGGCAGGCTTCGGGCACCAGGGAGGAGGGTCAGGCTCAGAAAAGCTTCATCCTGTAACTGGCCCATCAGAAACAAGGCCGGAGGAAAGGGCCTGATTCTCAGAGCAGGAAAGCAGCACCTGGTTCCTCGGTTGTGGGGTTGTGTGTGTGTGTGTGTGTGTGTGTGTGCGCGCGCATGCGCGCGCGCGTGTGTGTGTGTGTGTGTGTGTGTGTGTGTGTGTGGAAGGGACTTACAGGAGAGCTGGAGCCAGCTGGCTCCAGACAGCCTCAGCAGTCACCTTTGCCTTTGCCAATAACAATAAGAATCAGCGTTTACCCAGAACTAACCTTGTGCAGGGAAGTTTACATGCCTCATCTCATTTAACCTCCTGGCAACTTCCGGAGGAAGTTATCATTCCCATCTAGGGAAGGAGGAAGCTAAGCGTTTTCACTTCCCCTTGCGGTGGGTGGGTGGAGCTGAGACCAGATCTGGATGCGCTGGGATTCAGAGCCCAGGCTCTGAACCATAAGCAAGACTGCTCTCCGCTCCAGGCAGCTGAAAGGACGAACTACACGAGAAAATCCTGTGAAACGGGCACTATTCAAAGTCTAGTGACAGAACTACACTCATCTCCAGCCCGTGTGGCCCTGTCCACCCCCTCATGGTCCCCAGGAACCAACCACTGATCCTCCAGGCTGGATCTTGGGAGCCTGGGTCCCTACTGCCTTCCTACCCACATCTCATTGGCACTCTGGCTGGTAGCTCCCACCTTCTGGACTTCTCCCTGCCTCCCATCTCCACACTCACGCTGTGGCTCAGGCCTCGCCATCTCTGGCCTCCACACAGGCCTCCCTGCCTCTGACTGTGCTCCCTTAAAGTCTGTGCTCAGCACCACCATCTCCAGAGTGTTCCACCTAAAACACAACCCTGGCCAGGCCCCTGGCCCACTGAAACGCTCCTCAGAGATGGGCCAGGACCCACACGGGACAGTCAAGCTCCTGAGCTGGGCTCCCAAGCCAGGCTTCCCATCACATTCTTGTCCTTCCACCCATCTCAGAGGGATAATTAAAGACTTTACTTACAAAGGGACTCGTTCCAAAGGGTGGATAGAGGATGGGGAACCAGAGGGGAACGTGGAATGTGCAATCGCCCGGGCTGCTAGCAGGCAAGCTGTCACCCACTCTGCTCCAGGCCTGAGTATACAGGGGAGGTCACCCGCCCAGGAAGGAGCGGGCATCAAGCAGGCCGGAGCTACTCAGAGTGTGGCCCACAGCTGGGTGCTGGTCCCTGAGCTGCTCCTGGTCCGTTATCAGACAGTACAGAAATTGAGAGGAAGCATTAAGAAAGTCTTACAGCAATCTGGCATTGGTTGTGACATCCAAGTGCATGGTTGTTTTTTCTAACTTATTTCTAGCATTTTCCTACAAAAGTATTGGTCTGCAACAGATTGGCAGAAAACAGTGCTAGACCTTCTCTATGAAAAGCTTGAGAAGCACTGATCGAGGGCAGGGTTCTCAGCCTCGGCACTAGCGATACCTCGGGCTGGATAATTCTTTGTTGGGGGGCTGTCCTCTGCACTGGAGGATGTTTAGCAGCATCCCTGGCCTCTACCCATGGGATCCCAGTAGCATCTCCAGTTGTAACAACCAAAGATGTCTCCAGACATTGCGAGATGTCCTCCGGGGGCAAAATCACCCCCTGCTGAGATGCATTGGTCTAGAAAATTTGATTGAGGGACAGAGACAGCCAGGGGCAACCTTATAGCTTGGGAACCAGCTGAGAAAGTACGCTGACCTCACTCTCTTCTCTCTGCCCAATCTCCTGCTACCTCCGTGGCTGAACCCAACCAAAAGCCAGAGTTCATGGCTGCACACTGGGCAGTCTGCCAGGGCCCACAGCAGGGTGGAGGAGGGGAGAATGGATCTGGAGAGACAAAATACCATACCTGGCACAACCATGGGATCACAGCCCTCTTCGGGAAAGACACATCCTAAAATCCTGATGGATTTCTTTCCATCACATAAACTAGCGACATCTCTGTTAGCAGAAACCACGAATTGCTATTTTAAGTTTCTACAACGTGTTAAATTTAATTAAGCTCCAACGCTCTGAAACAGAATTTAAAACTGCAACCCCAAGACCTTACCCAGGAAAAATAAAACAAGCATAAGCGGCTGCTTCTCAGTTGTTTTTCTTTCTTTTTTTTCCCTTTTAATATTCATTTGGCATTTGTTCATTCACTTTCACACCAGCAAACATATCTACAGCTGACACCAGCAGTTTAAGAAGAAATCACAGGAGCATGCTGGTTGTTCTACTATTTTCTCTCAGATCTGTCTTCCCTTTCACCTGCCCCGCTCTGCACGCTGAGGAACTACATTTCCCAGACTCCCTTGCCTGTTCCCAGGCTCCTTTGCCCTTGGGCTTCCAGGTAGAGTTGGCCGATGGAGGCACTGGAGGAAGGCTAGAGGTTGGGAGGAGGGGAGAAGCCAGGTATTTCTTCCTCATTTTCTGCTTCAAGTGGTGTCTCTTGTCAGCTCCTGAGCCTCCTCTGTGATCCCAGCTCCCTGGGTTCTAGCTCCTGCCGGATGGATTTGGATTTTCAGCTCTGGTCATAGCTTCTCCTCCATGTTCCTCCATCCTTGGAAGCGGGCAGCCTCCCGCTGTAACTAATCTGATGCTTCACAGCCCCTGGTTGACCCCTCTGCAATTCCATCACCCATAGAACCCAACCCCTGTAGTGGACACCCTCTTAGATCTAGAGTATTCTTTTTGTTTTTTCCTAATTGAATCCTGAGTGACACAAGGAGATAACCTTTACTGGACGAGAATATTCTACCTGTTGACATCATCTTTTCCTTGCACTTTGGGAAGAGCCTATCATTACTTCACATCAGCAGAACAATCTTGGCCTTACCTACTGGAACTCCAGCTTTAGGGAGCTCTTGGCCACCTTCTCTCAATCACCCATCGTTCCCCAAATAAGCCACCTTGACCCCTGTGTGTATAGCAGCCCCTCTTCCTAGAACCACCTGGCAACCTTGTCCTTTAAGGCCTGACTCCAATGTCAGTCCTGACGCCACCTGGAACGGCTCCTGCTCTCTCTCCCTCAGCCCTCCCTGCTTTCCTCTGTTTGTGCGGGTGTCTCCCTCAAGGACGCAGGCTGTGTCTTATTCATCTTTGCATCTCCACTGGCCTAGAGTCAGGGCTGAGTAAATATTTACCCCACTTTTCAGCGGTGAATGAAAGAGTGCTTTGTTAAATGTTAAGGCCTATACAAATGTGAGCGATTCTTATTTAAATACGACACTGCCTAATGGTGACTCTCAGACTCCGGCTGGTCCCGAGAACGTGTTTCTGGAGAGGCGTTTTACTACATCCTTGAGGCTCACCACATGGACTCCTGACCACTTTTCATGGGTGCACACGTAGACATGTGTTTGGGGTGTGTGAATGCGGGTGTGCAGGTGAATGTATGTGTGTGAAACAATGTGTGTGGGGCATGTCTGTGTGTCTAAGTATCATTTGAGAGTTGAATGTGGGTATTTGTGAGCATGTGTGTGTGAGAGAGGATAGGGGTTCACATACATATAGTACGTAAAGGTTCTGGTCCCAGGTGACATTAGTCGCTGTTCTGCCACCCAGCTCCCAACCCCCAGAGGCTCCCACATGGCCCTTGACACTTCTGAGGTGACTCCTGTATGACCTCTCTCAGAGACTTGCAGGCCTGGCCTGCTCTTTCCTAATTGCTGCCATTAACGGCATCCGGGGAATCCGGGAAAGGACGGGGAGGGTTTCTAGGAGTCTCCACCGGGCCCTGGGCAAAACCTGTGAGCTGACCACCAAAGGCCACTCTGCCCCTTTCCCAGGCTCTCTCCAGCCCACAGTCCCCCGTCTCCCTTGCAGTTAGGGGTGTCCAAGTGGTAAGTTCTGGCAATGAAATGTGGCCATCACCATCTGTGCCACCTCAGGTCCAGGCCTTGAAAGAGCAGGAGAGCCTGCCCTCACTCTCCGTCCCTTCTGCTGACCGGCCCTGGGTGTGGGGACCCGCCTGGACCTGCAGACAACAACAGGGGCCAAGGGGTGGTGGGAAGCGGGAGCCTGAGCCCCCCCCGAAGAAGGCGCCCTGTAACCCAGAGGCAGCCCTGGGCTCTCAGGAGAGTGAGAAATCAAATTCTAGAATGGTTGGAGCCCTGATGCGTCTGGCACCTTTGCAATGGCAGCCAACGCTCCTGACTGATGGGCCCTGCAGATGGGACGAGGGAGCCCGAGGAGCTCGCGCTGTGAGGTGTGTGGCAGAGGGAGCGGGAGCGAGTGTGTGCAGGGGTGACCCAAGGGTGTGTGCGTATTTGTGTAAGAGGGAGAAATTGGCGCTGGCGTCTACACAAGCAGTATACTTCTTGCTTTTCTGGAGTCATCAGCAGACTTAGCCTCACTCATCTGCAGCCTCCAGCCCCATCGGCCCCCAGCCCTATTTGGGGCCCCGCATCAACGATGCTCCAGGGCTGCCTGCCAAGCCCGACACCCACGTGGGGATGCCCGGCAGGCCTGCCCCGTGCCACCTCCCTGCTCTCTGGCCGCCCAATCTCCAAGGGCAGGAAACGGCCGCATCAGCCCAGGCAGGCCACCCTGGCTCCACCCTCCCCAGCAGCACCACGGGGCCTGTTTGCCAACACTGCAAGGGAGCAGGAGATGCAGCCGGTCCTGTCTCGTATGCGGTTGTGTACTTGCCACGTGCCGGGTGCCAGTCTGCACACTGACTCCAGGAGGTAGGAATGATCACCCCCACATCACAGATGGAGAAACTGAGGCTTAGGCTCATCGGCCACCTGCTCCAGTTCACACAGTTGGAAAGTGGCTGAGCCAGTGTGGTGAGCCAGGTCTGCCAGGCCACTGAGTGTGGCCTTCCCTGTACTGTGCCACCTTACCCTGAATTGAGCAGAATCAGATTTTAGTAGGAAGCAAGGCTCAGAGTCAAGCTAACTGTTTAACAGCAATTAAAACAACAACAACACATGTTACTATAATGACAGCTAACGTTTGTTGAACGCTTCCTATATGTCCAACACTGTTCGGAGTACTCTACAGGTATTAACGATTTAATCCTCAGAGCAACTCTAGGAGGGAGATGCTATTATCCCCATTTTATAGGTTAAGAAATTGAGGCTCAGAGAGGTTAAGTGACTTGCCTAAGATCTCACAGAGAACGTTTGTGCCTAGCCAAGATTCAAACCTGGTACTCTCACATTACCTTAATTAATGCTCATGATAACCCTGGGAATTACCTTTCATAATTGTGCTCCCCATTTTAGAAATAGTGATTAACTGAATTGCCCTGAGGTCACATAGCTAATTAGAGTCAGAAATGGGATTCCAATGAGTGATGAGGGTGTCTTGCTACTTCACAATGCTCATGGGATCACCGAAGGAAGTGAGGGAGCCACCTGCATGTCCGCGGGGAGTTTCTTGGCAGAGGCAGCTGCTAGTGCAAAGGCCCTGAGGCAGGAACAGTGAGGAGGCTGGGGTGGCTGGACAGAGAGAGAGAAAGGGAGAGTGGTAGAAAATGAGGTCACCAAGGTAGTAGCCAGGAGCCAGGTTCTGGAGGGCTTGCAAATACATTTGGTCTTGTGTTCCAACTCTGAGGATTTTCTGGGTGCCAGTGTTGAGAAGGATTCTGATGCTGTGTTCAAACTCTGTGGGACAGAGTGCTATGGCTCTGGGAGAACGTCTATCTCTTATTTGTTGTTTCTGGTCTAGGAATTAGGGAGCAGTGGGAGGGAATCCCCAGGATTACCAGTACACGTTGCAGAATGCCCTCTTCTGGGGCCTGGTGCTGAAGGCTGGCCTTCCCTGATCGCACCACCCTGAGTGGTGGGTCAGAAGCCCCTTATCAGCTTCTGAGGAGGGCCGGGGCTGGGGGGCAGGCTGTCTCTCCTGCCTCTGCCCCTCCTGAGAACGTGGGGCCCCCGGGACCCTCAGGCTCTCTGTCTTCTTGGCAGTGACTTCTCCCTGGCAGCAAGTAAAGGAGCCACAGTCCTCTCAGTGTGGTTGAGATGCTGTGGCAGGGCACCCCACCCACATGCCCACAGCCCTCCAGACAGCAGGCAGGCTTGGGGACCAAAACCCCTGTTGAATCAGTGTCTGGGTGTCCTCTACAGCTTCTCCCCCAAGTCTCTTCTCTGTAAGCAGCCAGAGGAACGCGTTAAAGTGCAGGTCAGATCCAGTCCTTCCTCTGCTCACCCGCAGTGCGACCAGTCTCATGTAGTCAAGGTCTTCATGGGGCCCAGAGACCCCCCATAGTCTGCCCCTCACCTCTCCAATCTCTCCTCCTACTCCCCCGGCTCACTCTGCACAGCCACCTGGCCTCCTGCTATTCCTCAAAGCCGCCAAAGGTGCTCCTGCCTCAGGGCCTTTGCACTGCTGTTGCCCTGGTCTGGAAGCTCCTCCTCCAGATGTCCACATGCTCACTGCCTTACTACCTTCAAGTCTCTGCTCCAATGTTCCCTTCTTGGGGAGACCATCCCCAACCCTGCCCTATTTAACATTGTGGGCTCCCCCATCTCTACTCTGGCCCCCCCAAGCCCCTTATTCGGCTTCATTTTCCCCTGTTGCACTTTACTTGCCTGACAGATGATGTCATTTGCCTATTTGCTATGCTTACTGTCAATCATCTATCTTTCTCTCTTTCCACTAGAATGTCAGCTCCCTGAGATGAGGGGTTTGATCTGTCTTTTTCAGTGATATTTTCCCAACTTCTAAAATAGCACTTGGCACAAAGTAGGCCCTCAAAACATTTGTTGGGTGGTAAATAAAATGAATGTTCTATATTTACACTGCCCCATACAGTAGCTGCACATGGGTATTTAAATGTAACTTCAAATGAAATAAAATTAAAGTGTCAGTTCACTGGGTACAGGTCAAGCATTCGGTAGTCACTTGTGGCCAGCCGCCACCCCACTGGACTGCACAGAGATCCACAGGATGGTGTCTTCCAGAGCGTGCTCAGCAGCCTTGTCCTGCACTCCAGCGGAGGAGGGAAGACAGTCGTTTCCTGTGTGAGCCCTGACACACCAGACAGGTGGGCTGGTCCAGGGAACCCTGTCCAGCTCAGGGACAGCTCCCGCCCAGGGACGACTTGGTGATGGAGGTTTCCGTGGGGGCCTCTGCTCTCGGTCTCCCCAGGCATTCTCTCCGTGACTGGATGGTGTCATCCCTTCTTTTTGGTTCCTCCAGCTTCCCTGGGCTCCTAGGGCCTCTGGGTCCAGTGGGCTCTCTCTGGGGTTCCCCAGGGCCTGGTTCAAGGTCACCTCCCCCTGGGCGTGCTATGACTCTCAGCCGCACGTTCAGCTGCGGTCCAGTACCTTCCCAGGAGCTGTCTCACTTTCCCCACGGTCCTCAGACAGGGCCGGCCCTGGGCCACACTGAGGCTCTGGCCCTCTCTGGTCCTTGTTCCGTAATCTCGTTCCCGCTTTTCTGTTTCTCATCTATCGGTTACCCATGACGCTTCTGATGCGTGTGTCTCTATTAAGATAAACCTCTGCTCCAGCCAATCACA